TAGAAACTGTTATTGTAGGCGAATTCAACTAATGGAAAATATGTATCCCAATTACCGTCAAAATCCAATATGCAAGCACGTAACATATCCTCCAACATCTAAATCGTTCATTCCATCTGCCCATCTGTCTGGGGATGGTAGGCTATGCTGAATCTGAGAGTAGTGTCCATTTCTTTCTGTAGGGACCTTCAAAACTTAGAAGTAAATCTTGGGTCTCAGTCTGAAACAATACTGCTTGGAACACCATATAGCCTAACAACCTCCTTGATGTAAAGCCTCGCTAACTTTTTTGGAGAATCTTTAACATTCATAGCAAGAAAGTGTGTGGACTTAGTCAGACGGTCTACTATAACCCATATCGCATCATGTTTAGCCATTATCATTGGTAACCCAACTATGAAATCCATGGATATGCTATCCCATTTCCACTCAGGGATATCTAGGGGTTGCAACTCTCCTGCAGGCTTTTGATGTTCTATCTTTACTTTTTGGCAAGTGAGACACTTTACCACATACTCTGTAATATCCTTCATTCCAGGCCACCAGAAAAGTTCTCTAACATCATGATACATCTTAGTAGTTACTAGATGAAGAGTATACTTACTCTTATGGGCTTCTGCCAGTATCTTTTCTCTGAGATTGACTACTTGGGGAACGTAGGTTCTTCCTTTAAACTTCAATATCCCCTCCTCAAAAATTTCAAAGTTCTTAGTCTCGCCTCTAAACAACTTCCCTTTGAAAATTTCTGCTAGCCAATCCCGTGATTATGCTTCTCTGATTTGATCCTCGAGCAGAGTTGTAAACTGGGTTCTACCTCTGTTTCCTTCTACTAACTGCATCTGATATAGAGGACCCCAATCTCTAAAATCCTCTAGCAACTTTTGCTCCTTGATGATTAGTGATGCTACCTGCACTGCCTTTCTACTCAAGGCATCTGTAACTACATTCGCTTTGCCTGGATGGTACTTAATATGGGAATCATAGTCTTTAAGCAAGTCCATCCATCTTTATTGTCTCATATTCAACTCTTTTTTATCATGGAGGTACTTAAGGCTCTTGTGGTCGCAAAACAATTCTATTGATTCTCCATACAGATAATGTCTCCATATCTTTAATACATAAACTATCGTTGCCAATTCCAGGTCATGGGTCGAGTAATTCTCCTCATGAGATTTCAACTAGCGTGAGGCATAAGCTACTACCAACCCTTGCTACATAAGCACACATCCCAGTCTCTGCTTGCTAGCATCAATATAAACCGCATAAGGTTGTGAAGGATTAGTGAGTACAAGTACGGGAGTAGAGGTAAGCTTCAATTCCATCACAACCTAGAAAACTCTAGGGTTCCACCATAAATCCTCAAAAATTCCAAGAAAGAAAGTAGATTAGAGGTTAAAATCACTTACTTGAGGTAATGGATCCTTAGAAATACCCCCTCCAAGCCAAAATACCGAAACCCTAGCAGAGCCTCTCTCTCTACCTCAGATTTTTCTAATTTTCGCACAACTGAACCCCTCCTGCGACTATATAGATTCAAACTCCTTCGCCGTGGCGAACTAATCCCGAGAGGGATTACTCACCTGAAAACCCGACTTCACCACGACGAACTCCAATCTTCGCCGCGGTGAAAGCTTCCTGAGAGGAAACTCTCACTTGCCTAGAAGACCTTCGCCGCGGCATACCCCTACCTTTGCCGCGGTGAAACCTTCCCGAGAGGGAAACCCTGTTCACCTGGACAACTTCGCCGTGGCCAAACCTACCCGAAAGACAATCCCCTGGAACTCCCGGTTCGCCGCGGCGAAGTTTTACATACCCTGAGAGGGGTATGTTCACCTATTCCTTCAACATACCTCAAATCTAACCCAAACACCAAGATCAACATTAAATCGCTAATCTATCCTCAAAATCAACCAAAAGAGGCTATTAAAACCCGATAAAACTCAGGATGTTACAATTCTCCCCAACTAAGGAATTTTGTCCCCAAAATTCAAGCAATCACACAAAAACACTACACAAACAAACACAAAACACTTACTAAAAAAACAAACGAGGGGAATCACGTCGCATCCTTTCCTCTGTCTCCCAGGTGGCATCACCAGGACTCATGCCTTTCCAGAAAACTTTCACCAATCGAATGGTCTTATTCCTCAACTGTTTGTCCTTCACATCAAGGATTCTTTCCGGTTTAGCCTGGTAAGTTAGATTGTCATCCAGCTCCACCTCCTCAGGCTCTAAGATGTGAGATGGATCAGGGTGGTACTTCTTTAGTTGGGACACATGAAACACATCATGTACGTTGGACAGGTGTGGTGGCAAAGCAACTCGATAGGCTACTTCTCCAATTCTCTCTAGAATTTCAAAGGGTCCAAGAAATCTAGGAGATAACTTCTTCGCTTTAATGGACCTCCCAATACCGGTAGTTGGCGTGACCCTAAAAAACACATGGTCACCCTCACAAAATTCCAATGGTCTCCTCCTCCTATCAGCATAACTCTTTTATCGGCTCTGAGCTGTCAGCAACTTCTGCTTGATGACCTCAATCTTCTCTGTACTGGCATCTACCAAGTCTGGTCCTAAAACCATTCTTTCACTCAGTTCCGTCCAACAAAGAGGTGATCGACACTTCTGACCGTAGAGTGCTTCATAAAGGGGCCATTTGGATGCTGGCATGGTAGCTATTGTTGTAGGCAAACTCAACCAAAGGTAGGTGATCAATCCAACTCCCCTTGAATTCAATGGCACAAGCTCTCAACATATCCTCTAGCGTCTGAATTGTTCGCTCTGTCTGTCCATTGGTCTGGGGGTGATATGCTGTACTGAACTTCAACTTAGTACCCAAAGCCGCATTCACCGCTTTCCAAAAGTTAGAAGTAAAGCGCAGATCTCGGTCCGAGACTATACTCGACGGAACACCATGAAGCCTGACGATTTCATCCATGTACAACTTGCCCATTCTCTCCAAGGTATAATTGACTTTGTAGGGTAAAAAGTGAGCAGATTTTGTCAATATGTCCACCACCACCCAAATAGCGTCATAACCTTCGGGTGTCCTCGGCAAACCTACAATGAAGTCCATGGAGATGCTGTCCCACTTCCACTGAGGGATTTCTAGTCCTTGCAACAAACCTCCAGGTCGTTGATGTTCTATCTTAACTTTTTGACAAGTCAAACATCGAAGTACTCTTAATCTCCTCATCCTGGGGAACACAAATCTGGTTCTTATACTTCAACATGCCCATATCTCCAAATTCATAGTCCTGTACTGGGCCATCCTCCAATTCTACCCGAATTCTTGCCAACTGTTCATCTTCCCATTGAGCCGCTCGTAAATCCTGATAGAATTCATAATCTCCGAGCACTGCACATAGAATAGCCTGCTCCGACGGGACAATTGGAATCTCTAATAGCTCCTCGAGCAAGAATTGTTCCTTTAAGCTCATACAGAACACATGCACTGCTTTTCTACTCACAGCATCCGCTACCACATTAGCTTTTCCAGGATGATACTTAATCTCAAAATCATAGTCCTTCAGGAATTCCATCCAACGACGCTGCCGGTCGTTCAACTCTTTCTGATCCACCAAATATTTCAAACTTTTATGGTCACTGAAGACTTTGAACTGGGAGCCGTACAGATAATGCCTCTAGATCTTTAGTGCAAAAACTACTGCCGCTAGCTCCAAGTCATGGGTTGGGTAGTTTTCCTCGTGTGGCCTTAACTGCCTAGAAGCATATGCCACTACCTTATTATTCTGCATTAGTACACAACCCAAACCCTTTAGTGACGCATCAGTGTAAAGAACATACGGTATTCCAAGGATCGGAAGTGTAAGCACTGGAGCTGTAGTCAACTTGGTCTTCAGCTCTTGGAACGCTGATTCACACTTCTCCGTCCAAACAAATGGTTGATCCTTCTTGGTTAACCTAGTCAATGGCATTGCAATCTGAGAAAAGGCTTGGATGAACCTCCGATAGTATCCAGCTAATCCCATAAAACTCCGCACCTCAGTTACCGATCTAGGGACTTCCCACTTAAGTACCGCGTCCACCTTGTTAGGATCTACTACTACTCCCTGAGCTAACACCACATGACCCAAGAACTTCACTTCTTTTAGCCAAAACTCAGACTTTGACAGCTTAGCATACAATTGGTGATCCCTCAAAATCCGTAGTGCGATGTGAAGATGCTCTCGATGTTCTTCCTCACTTCTAGAATAAATCAGAATGTTATCGATGAACACTACCACAAATCTGTCCAAATAAGGTCGGAAGATCCGATTCATGTAGTCCATAAAGATAGCTGGAGCATTTGTTAGTCCAAAAGGCATCACCAAAAACTCATAATGTCCATAACGAGTTCGAAAGGCCGTTTTTTAAATGTCCTCTGCTCGTACCCTCAACTGATGGTACGAGCAATAAGTCATCAATTCTAGGCAACGGGTACTTGTTCTTGATTGTGACCTTGTTTAATTGTCAGTAGTCGATACACAGCCTCAAGCTACCATCTTTCTTCCTTACAAATAAAACCGGTGATCCCCACGGTGACACACTTGGTCGAATAAGTCCCTTTTCTAACAATTCTTCTAGCTGCTTTTTCAACTTGACCAATTCTGAAGGAGACATTTTGTAGGGAGCCTTAGAGATTGGGGTGGTTCCCGGAACCAATTCTATGGAGAACTCCACTTCTCGCTCTGGAGGTAGTCCTGCAACCTCATCTGAAAACACCTCAGGGTAGTCCCTCACCACAGCTATCTGTTCGATTCCTCCTGCCTCATCCTTACTAATTGAAAAGAAGACAATGAAGGCCTGGCACCCTTTCCTCACCGCCTTCTCTACTTAAGCAGCTAACAACAAAACCGGACCACCTAACATTTCAGCACATAAGGCACCTACCGGAATCGTCGCCAACCTCCTTTTACAATCAAGGATTGCTCCATTGGCCATCAACCAATTCATGCCAATAATCACGTCAATACCTTTCAGAGGTAGACAAAACAAATCTATTGTAGAACTTGGTTCTCAAACTGAAGTGCAAGCTCTAGACATGCTCTTCCAGTTACGACAGAGACTCCAGCAGGAGTAGACACTCTCAAATCATAAGGTAGCTCAACCACAAGCAAGCTCAACTTCTGAGCATAGTCCACAGAAATAAAGGAGTGCATAGCACCTGAGTCAAATAAAGCAGAAATAACATGCCCCTCAAGTAGAATGTTACCTCGAATCAAGTTCGGAGATGCAGAAGCCTCCTCATTTGTCATGGCATATACACGTGCCGGAACAGTAGAACGGCTAGCTTGAGGTGTCGGTTGACTCTCTGGATAGTTTCTGGCAATATGTCCCCACCGGTGGCATCGAAAGCACTCCCAGCATTGCCCCGCATACCTAACCCCATATTTGGGGCACGGTCCAGTAACACTCGGGGTGGTCACTGATGAATCTCGACAGGAGCCCTGTCCCCCGCCAGTTTGATTGTTTAGATTCTGGCGCCTTTGCATAAAGCCCCTCTGAGCGTTCGCCCTCTGATTCTGCCCTTGATTCCTATTTCTCCCTGAGCTACTTGAGCTCCCAGAGCTATACTGACTCCTCTTCCTGTCACACCCTGATAATCTTATTCTAATTGATGAATGACTTGAGACTGACTAAGGCCAAATAGTATAGTAGACTGGTAGAGGATCCAGGCTATGAAGAAAAATCAGGATAGGGACATAACAGTCATTTTTGAAAAGATCGATCAAGAAAGGGCAGTATTGGAAATAATGTCCAAAATTCCTGAAAATTCCCAGAAAATCATGAAAAATAGAAAAGAGGGTACAGAATAATGTTTGAGGCTTAGAAGATGAATATAGGACTAAAAATAATTTATCAGGGAATTATTTGTAATTATTGGAATTTTTGGTTAATTAAGGAAAATTAGCCAATTTCCATTATTTAAAATATATAGAGGCCTCAAAAATTCAAGGAAAAATATGGATAAATTATGTGACATATTATCCTAATTTATAAAATTACTTCTCACCTTTGGATGTGCAGAGGTTAGCTTAAAGAATATTTATTACCGAGTTATTATCGGTAGAATAGTGATTTTTGACAGAGAAAAATTTAGAAAATTATAGAGGGAGGTAAAACTTGAGAAAAATCATGGAATACCCTTGGAATGAGGGGAATTTAATGAGGTGTTGAAATCAAAATTTTGTGACAGTAAATTGGACAGGATTGTTGGAAAATCGAACCGAAAATACACAAATAATAAGTGGATTGCACTGAATATTGGATGAGTAATTTTTTCTCCCAATATTTAGAGTAATATTTTGGCCAAAAATAAAGGGGGAGGACAAAGTTGGAATTTTCCAAATTGTTCAAGGGCATAAAGGGAAATAAGAGATAAAACAATAAAATAATATTTTATTTCCACATGAAAATCACATTGTGATTAGGTGTCCATCCATGTGTCAACTTCTTATGGTGTGTGCCCTAAGATTTGTCCATGTGTAAAGTGGAAAAAAATGGACGGCCGAGATCGCATCTTTTTCCCGAAGGGCATTTTTGGAATTTTGAAAAATCAAAGCCTATAAATACCACCCTTCCATGAACAATTCGGCCAAAGAGGTTTGCATGAGAGGGAATGTTGTATTCTTGAGTTCTAGGAGAGAGAAAGGAAGAAAGAAGAGAGAGAAAGGGAGAAAGCAAGGTTAGACACCTCTAATCGCCGATTAAGAGCTAATTAAGGTACGTTTACCTCCCTAAGTGTTAATTATTTTTAGTTAATTATTTTTTTGAGGAAGATTAGGATTAGTTACCTTGATTAATTATGGTTTAGTGGTAGCTAAGATTAATCATGTTATTTGATTAAAGATTAGTAAGTAATTAAGGTTAGCTACCTTGATTAATTAGTAATTAGTGATTAGTTATGCTAATTGAAGAATGATTAATTATGATTAATCATGTTGATTAGAGGATGATTAATGGTTAATCCATAAGGGATTAGCGACTTAATCTTAGAAGATTATGTTGTACTAATGACTATATGACTTGAGGACCTTAATTAAATATTGGATTAAGGATTAAGGGTTAGTGATTAACCAAGAAAGCATGATTAATCATGGATTAAGGAAGAATTCCAAGACATTAACTGAGGATTAAGGCTTGGTCAACCCTGTCACACCTTACTTATATAGTACCTTAGCATTCATTTAGATCCATTCCAGACCACTTTGGATGGTCTTAAACTTAAAAATTTCAATTTGGACGTTAATTTTCGGAAAATTACTATTCACTGTCCAGTTTTCAGATTACAGGTCCAACTTTGAAAAATCATAACTAATTTTAAAAAAATCGTATGGAGGTGTTCTAAAATTCTACGGAAAGCTCTTTCAATTATCTTTAAGGGAAAAATATTCAACTAAACTCATCCTCAGTGAAAACGTACAGTTTATTAGATTAAGATTACTATTCGTTTGGTAAAATCTGGACTCTCCAGATTCTGCGCCTTAACTTTGAAAACTCATATCTCTTTGTATACACATCCAAATGAGGTGATTTAGCACTCATTTTGAAGCTTGGGATGTGCACTATAAGTCTGCCAAATCTCGTGATTTGACTCATTCATTTGATAGGTCAAACTGAAGATCAAAACTAACTGCTTCAGGACCTACGTTTTATCCTTTAATATCTCCTTACTTTAATTCTTTTTATTTCTTTGACATACATAGCATGGGCTTAATCTTTCTCATTCATACTCATATACTTTCATTCATGCCATAAACATCCTAAGCATATACATTGAAGTAATGGCATTCATAACATAATTTACAGCATAGGAGAATTATACATTGAATAATAATATCAATCATTAGCATTAATAATTCTCCACTTCTTCTCCTTGCTTCTCATGCCATTAGTGCCCATCATTAATTGACCTAAATGGTTGGTTAGGGAGGGGGTGAGATTCGAGGGAATCTCAGTAGCAAACAATACCATATTAATCATGCTAAATGGATGCTCATGCACTACACGCAACTTGTTTATTCTCTTGTTAATTAGTGACATACTAGCATGCTCAAAGCTAACTTCTTGATGCATGGCCATGGAGACATAATCTACTCATCATGAATAGCAATTACAACAGCTAAAACATGTCACAATAACATTCAATAACATGTACACGGCAACACACAAGCATACAACATCAAGCAATGACAATAGGTAAGTTCACTACCTTGCACCTCAAGCTTTCCTCTTACTTTTCCTTTGACTCCCTTGACTTTCCAACCATGTTAGCTTTTGGTCAACATCATCAAACATCCTCTTGGATGTTCCAAAGGTCCTAAACATAGTCATAATGATCATACAATCTATTAGGACCATTAGATTACATAAAGTTCAAAGCTAGCTCTCTTGAACCTCAACCCTTTCTCTTAGTCTTAGGGTTTTCTTTCTAGCTTTTCTAACATAAATCTCATCATTTCCAATCCTTATGATTCATTTCTCGTCAATTAGAACCACTTTAGATGGCTTTAGATTCAAGAATATCAAATCTGAAAATTTTGGTTCGCAGGTACTGTTCACGCAGAATCTCCAGAATTTTTGATCAACTTTCAAAATTCATAATTAAATCTATAAAAATCAAAATTGAGTGCTTCTAAGTCTCACTGAAAGCTAATTAAGTTAAATTTAAGGGAAAAATAGTTTCAAGAACCAATTCTACGCTGAACAGCACCGGAATTGTACGGAACTCGATGCTCTTCTAAAAGTTCAACACTGTTTCCAGATTTCAAATCCTAACTTTGAAAAATCACCATAAATCGTACACATATCCAAATGAAGTGTTCTACCCATGGATTTAAAGCTCACAGAGTGTAATTTAAGCATGCCAAATTTCAGAATCAGATACACACAGTAACTAATTCGAAATAGGTATCAAATCAGATGCTACAGCCACCACATACCTTGATCTTGAAGCTTGAACTTTGTTCCTTCTTCTTGGCCTTCACCCCTACGTTTTTCTCTCTAAATTTTGGCAGAGTTTCCCCTCTTAAACTCATGTTGGCTGAAAATATGAAGGGGAAGAGGCTCTATTTATAGCCAAAAAAGTTGGCTTGAATGGACCAAAATGCCCTTGGTGGCTAATAGAAAGGGTAAGGGCAAGTTTGGAAGTTCAAGTGGACTTTTGCATCATCATTGCATCATCTTATTACATCATGCTTACCTCAACCTTCTAGAAGATGCCAAGTGTCATGAAAGTGGTGGAGGAAATAGGAGATTAGATCCTAACCGTTGGATCAAACTTGTTTCATAAGCTTCCTCCGAATTTACTTGGCCCACGTTTCTCCGGCTTTCTTTATGGCCTTTCGGAGCTCAGAAAATTGTTCTGTCTACTTTATAAATTTCCTTTAATTCTAAAGAATATCTATGAATTTTCTTAGGCCATAACACTTCCTTTAAACCTTGCATAAAAATTCATTTACCAAAATGCCCTTTTATCGGCAAAACCGGCTCTTTAATTTATTAAAGCCACTCCACTAGCCATTTGGTTACGGGACTAATTTTATAAATTAGTACAACCTTTCAAACATTTAACCTCATTTTTGTATACATTTTTGAGGTCTCTTGCTATTTTAAATAATTACCTCACATGGTATATTTTTTACCGGTAATAACCTCATAAATTCCGTTGAAGCTGCCTCAGGGGTATTTTCATCTTTTCTCTTCATAGAAGAGTCTTAGAATATTATTTCTCATTTTCTAGGATTTTCTTAGAATTTTCTGTACCCTCTTCCACTTTTACCGTTGTTGGTCATAACTTTATGAATTTACAGTTTAGTCCCTGGTTGGACTTAACTTCATATAATCCTCTCTTTGAGGCTTCTAACTCAACCTTTGGCCTATATCTAGTCTCTTTTCTCTCTCTGGGCCTTCGAGACTTTACTAGAGCATCTAACTTTATTACACTTTAGCCCCTTAAAACTTTTACTTTGCAGTTTAGTCCCTGATACTGCTTTAACTTCCTTTTTCATCTTTGGGACTTCTGCTCACAGGGGTCTGGTAACCTATTTAATTTAGGCTATTTCTGGAACTTCTAGGCCTAAAAGTCTGGATGTTACAAAACCAAAGTCAAAGGATTAGGAAAGGTATACAGAAATTATAAATTGAAAGGCACAAGGGTAGCATTATATAGAGAAAGAATTGTATACTGGATATGGAATTTACCATACCCTTACTGTATGGTTGATAGGCAATTTTCTGGAAACCTAGGAGGATCTCAAGCAAGGAAACAAGGAGGAAACATTAAGCGTGGAACTGAGGTAGCGTGAACTTACAATTATTTTGTTGACCTGCATTTAGTTTCTGCTATGTGTGTTTATGTGCCATGAGAATGTTTATGCCCAGATGATATGAACTCCTTGCAATGTATGCCTTGGCTCTTGCATGATTGAGTTTTGACCAGAATGATTATATGCTCCATGATATGATGACATGGATATAGAATGGTTATGGCATGGCATAAAGACTAGCAATGTTATTTTACTGCATGTAGCATGACATCTTATGCATGTTGACTTGATGGTTGTATGTTCAATGCTACTGGGATTTCTATGAAATCTCATTCCTCCTATAACATGGTATTCTAGGTGCTACTACTTCCAAGGAGAAGGGAAAAGAAATAATCATGGCTTGAGGAAGTTATTAGTTATGTACTGTATTATATGGTTTTGAACCTTTCTCTTTCAAGCCATGTAAGCATATTCTGACCTTGAATACATGATATGATGACCTTTTAAAATGTATATTAATAGTAGAGCACCTTTATATGTGATTGTGGTATGCTTATAGTGAAAAACGAAATAGTGCTAGAATTAGTGAAAAAGGGGATAAAAACGGTCTAGATTTGACCAAACTTTGACCAACAAAGACCCTAGTCAAATGGTTGATTTTTTCCATGAAATTTGACATGCAAATAGATCTTATTTTTCCCTTTAAAATGAGTGGTAAAACGTCACAATTGGAGCTCTGTGCAAGAAGTTATGCCTTTTTGAAGTTAGGCAAAAATCCTTGATAATAGAAAAATGACCAAATGAACAGTACTTTTTGAAATTAAAATCGGATACGTTTCTGATTAAAGTGGAACCTGAGGTCATTTTTCCTTGATAGATGATGTTAAGAGCTTCGAGTGAGACTTGGAACGACCTTATTTCGATTTTTCTAGAATTAATTATGATTTTCCAAAGTTATGCCAAGTTTAAGGTTACAGTGAATAGTAATGCGGGAAAAGAAATTTTCAAATTCAGATTTTTCAACCCAATAACCTTAAATTGTGCTTCCGAATATCTTAATTTGGCACAATATAAGGTCACAAACGTAAGGTGTTACACTTCCCCACTCCTCCTGTAGGACCAGGATAACAGGCTGCTCTAGCTTGATTCTCAGCCTTCCTTGCCTCTACCACCTCTCTTGTCCTTCTAGCCGCAACCCGCAGCTTCACAGACATCTCCTCAAATGTATTGACCTCTAACAGGGCCAATTGCTGTTTCAGCTCTGGCCTTGCACGATTCATCAATTGTTGAGCTAGCCAGAATGAATGATCTTCCGTCTGCCTGGGCACATACTTCGCCAAGTCTATAAACCTTGTGATAAACTGATCCTCATGCATCTCTCCCTGCTTCAAGGAATAGAACAGGAATTGCTTTTCCATTTGTAACTCCTTCGAAAAGAAGTGATCATAGAACATCAGCTTGAAGGTATCCCAGTCTAACTGAGATATATCAGAAGGTCTTGCACTATCCCACCAATGCCTTCCTTGCTCCACAAGATAGGTGACCGCTACTTGTACCTTGAGCGGGGAAAGACAAGGAACGGCAGTAAAGATTGTCTCCATCCGCTCAATCCACTTCGTTGCCTAGAACTGTGGAGGATCATGACAGTGCACCTCTCTCCATACCTTGGTGATGTCATTTAGTAGCGGAGGGTAAATCACTCCCTTTGAAGTATCCCTCCCTGGCTAACTGCTCGATACTCCTCCCTCTGAGGTAAGTCTCCGGCTTGATCACCACCTCTAAACCCCCTTTCTCCTTCTCCTTGTGCCTTCATAGTCACCTCGTTCTCTCGGTCCTCTTGATTGATCAACTCTTGATGCTTCCTCGTGAAGTCTTCTTCAAACTTTCTCAATCTTTCATCCACCACTGCTGTCATCACTCCCTCATTTGTTTCAGAAAGGCCTCATTCTCTTGAGATGGTCCGTTACCGGCTGGATCTGTCTGACGTGTCCGTACCATCCTTCCTCTCCGCAACTAAGGATGGAAACCCTCATTAGTAAAGAAAAGAAAGAAAACACAAAACAAACAGGGAAGGTATGTATAAAGTATGTATATTGCCACTAGGAAAAGAAACAATTTCAAAGAAAGGAACCGGCTCTGAATACCAATTTGTAAAGACCTTAACCCATAACATTATAACTTGTCATAAAATCGCTACTATGGTAGAAAAGGAAATCTGTTAACATGAACTACCATAGTAGAAAGAAATTTGCATATTTTTAGAAATTGACTTTCAAACTCGGGTCAAACCTAAACTCCGTTGCATGCAACTAAAATCATTCATTAACATGATGGCCACAACAAGTCATGCAAGTGTAATGATGCAATCCCATCAACCATATCCCTCACTTTGGGGGATTTCCAAGAGCCGAACTCGGCCTATCCCTCACTATGGGGGACGTAAGGAGCCATAAGAGGCCTATCCCTCACTCTGGGGGACGTAAAGAGCCAACCATCATGCATTAATGGAGGCCTTACCACGTGGTAGTAACAATCAAACTCTCACCAATTCCCAATTCATGCATCATGCTCGAACTATAATCAAAGAGTAATTACTCATTTCTCAATTAACCTCTTTCAGTGGCCTATCTTTCACAAATTACAAATTCAATCAATATCAATTTAAACCCCACAAGACGGTTTTCCTTTTCAATATACAACATACACTTTGAACACAGTTGCTACTCGAAGCACAAAGCATAAATCCACTCACAGTACCACAAAAGCATGTACAAAGGATTAGAAAGTGGTTACCTCTCTCCTGAGCAAGGAATAACAAATCGACAATATGACCCCGTGCACCAACAAGGCTCAAAACTGATCTACGCAAGCACACAAACACACAACCACCATGTATTAGCTTTCAACTAATAATGTGGCCAAAACAACAACAATTGGGGACACAAAATTCCTAGCTCCAACTAAAACTCTACCCAACTCAAAGGGTATAACCATCAAAACAACACTCCAAGGTCATAAAAGTCCATTAAAACATCAAATCCCCTTCCAAGCATCAATTAGGGTTCAAACCTCAAGGACCCACTATAGGAATTCTACACCCAAACATCTCATTTGAAAAATTGAAGTTCTAACAACAATCTAAACCGATTAAACATCCAATTTAACCCTCCTTATCATAACCCAAATCACAAAACTCAAAATCAATCTCCACATTATCATCCTCAATCACAAACCTCCCAATCTCATGAACCCTAACTTCAAAAACTCAAGGTTCTTTAAATCCAAGAAAACTACACTGATTAAATACTTAGACTAACCCAAAACAATCAATTAAACTCAAAACAATCGGTCAAAAACCTCAATTCCATCACAACCTAGAAAACTCTAGGGTTCCACCATAAATCCTCAAAAATTCCAAGAAAGAAAGTAGATTAGAGGTTAAAATCACTTACTTGAGGTAATGGATCCTTAGAAATGCCCCCTCCAAGCCAAAATACCGAAACCCTAGCAGAGCCTCTCTCTCTACCTTAGATTTTTCTAATTTTCGCACAACTGAACCCCTCCCGCGTATATATAGATTCAGACTCCTTCGCCGCGGCGAACTAATCCCGAGAGGGATTACTCGCCTAAAAACCCGACTTCGTCGCGGCGAAAGCTTCCTGAAAGGAAACTCTCACTCGCCTAGAAGACCTTCACCACGGCATACCCCTACCTTCGCCACGGCGAAACCTTCCCGAGAGGGAAACCCTATTCACCTGGACAACTTCGCCGCGGCTAAACCTGCCCAAAAGACAATCCCCCTGGAACTCCCAGTTCACCGCAGCGAACATACCCTGAGAGGGGTATGTTCACCTATTCCTCCAACATACCTCAAATCCAACCCAAACACCAAGATCAACATTAAATCGCTAATCTATCCTCAAAATCAACCAAAAGAGGCTATTAAAACCCAATAAAACTCAAGATGTTACACTTGGGCTTCTGTTATGAAATTCAATCTAACCTTCGGATTCAACTCTAAATCTCTCAAGGATAAGATTAGGGTTTTGTTCTTACAATCCATTAGGATATTATGGGATGACAACCAATTTAGTCCAATCACCACATTAATTTCATAAAAGGGCATACATATTAAGTCTATAGCAGTACAATAGTGTTCATAACAAACTATGCAGTTGAAGCACACATCAGATGTAATTACCCTATTCTGTGTTGGTGTGGACACATGTATATCATACGGCAATGTATTCATAACCAAGCCAAGTCTTTTAACACAAGCATATGAGATATAAGAATGACTAGCACCCAAATCAAACATTACAATCATTGGAGAGTTGTTTATCATGATCGTATCTTGGATCATTTCTGGAGATTTCCAGGCTTCTTCCCTTACGAGGGCAAACACTCAGCCTTGGCTGTGTGGTCGTGTCTTTTCAGTGTTCTATAGGCATTCTCTTGAGAAATCTCCAGGTTTGCCGCATGTGTAGCAAACGTTCTGTCGAGCCATGCTGTCACACCTTACTATGTTATCAACTTCGGTTCCATTTAAAACCATTTTAGACCACATTGGATGGTCTTGGGCTCACTTTTTATCTGAAAAATGCTAAATTTCGGATTTTTACTGTTCATCAGGTAAAAATCCAGTTTTTCTGACCCAACTTCAAAAATTCATAACTTATTCCACAAAAATCAAAATGAGGTGGTTCAAAATTTTGATTAAAGATATTTAAGTTCTCTTTCAAGGAAAAATAATCTTGTGATCCAATTCCTTAGGAAAAAGCATCAGGTTTTTGTGAAAGGTGACACTATCCATTTGCCAAAAACCCCTTTTGCCAGATTCTAACCTTTAACTTTGAAAAATCATTAAAAATTGTATACTTGGCCATTTTTGACGTGTTAGCTATCAAATTGAAGCTCAGGACATTATCTATAATTGTAAAAAATTTCGTGACTAAACGCGTTCAGGACCTTAATCAAAAAGTCACGTGAATGTAGCAGTGTCAGTGTGTTACAGCACTATTAGTATAATAAATACATAGCCAAAAATATCTGTGAAATTTTGTGGCAAGACAACACAATTTAACCTTCAATTTGCAGCTTTCCCTTAGAGGATTCAGGCCCTAAAATGTTAGATTGTATTTGTGGAATGAGATTTCATTGAAATCCTAATAGCAAATTAACCAACTATATCACCAACAAGCATCATCAACATGCATAACTACATTAACTACTATTAGTGAACTAGCATGTTTTTCATTTGGCAAACTCAATCATGCAAAGGCCAAAGCAAAAAAGTACAAAGAGAAGCCACATTATAATCAAGAAAGTTCAACCACATAATAGCAATTAATCATGCAATAATCAATAATGCCAAATTAGTGTTAGTAGCTAGGTTTAACTTGCTACCTTGCTCCAAAAGCTTGAGCTTTCTTTCTTTCTCTTCTTCCCCCTCACAAATATCAAACCCTAGAAATGTAATTCATCAAAAAGGGTAGCAAGAATCATTAACCAATCAAGAAAAAGCAAGAACACAATCAAAAATGACTCTTGCTCCTCAAAGCTTCCACCTTTGTTCACTATTTTTGAACTTGTTTTCTTTTAACCCTAAAAATTACTTCTTGACTTATTCCTACATGGTTTTTCATGTAGATTCCAAATATATGCTTAGATCTATAAAAATAAAACTCCTCCTTTCAGCTACCATTGACCAAACCACTAGGGGTACTTGAACCAAAATTTACAACTTTGTTTTAATGCTTCCAACACTTGTTCCTTTTGGTTTAGCTTACAACATTTGTCATTTTAAGCATCATGGAAGCCTTAAAACATTGAAAAACTCATCCTAGGGTTCAATAATCATCTTGGCTGAAAAGAACATTCAAAGAAACAACCAAGAAAAATTGCTTCAAAACAACCTATACTCACTTGCAACCACTAGGAGCTAACATGTTTTGATGTGTCTTAGCAAGTGTAATCAACAAAACTCCCTTTCCCTCAAGATAACCAGTTCGGCCAGCATCCAAAGAAGAGGAGAACATATTTTTCAACCATAAAAAAGAAAGACAGCAAAGCAAGAACCAAAGGTGCAAGCTTTCTCTTATTTCTTCCTCAAAACTCTCTCTTTTCTCTCCTTTCCTCCCTTAGCCAAAACATGCATCTGAAAATGGGGGAAGATGAGCTTGTTTAATGGTCCAAAATATCTCAACTACCATCTTTAATGAGAGTCCAAGTGTCATTACCCTCTTTAATCTTGTTTTCTCTTTCTTAATTAATAAAATCTAAAAGAAATTCATTACCAAAGTCAAGATCCTCTCCATTTGAGGAGTGACACTTGGCAAATTCAAATCCTCTCCATCAAGAGCTTGACACATGGCTCAATGTGATCTATTTGATTTGCAAGACACTAGTCTTGCTTTATCAGTATACTTTGGCTCTGAGTTTAACTTTCTTTCTATAATTACAGTAGTTTGGCCTCTGTAATTATTTTCTGTTAGATCCTTAATTTATTCTCCTCATTTTTATCTTCCTAAATTGCCCTCTTTGCCTCAAAATTAGTTTCCTAATAATTAAATAAAAAGGAAAATTAATTTCCTCCTCTTTA